CAGGTGCTATAAAAATGATTTCATGTTGTAGTTGTCTCAGCATCACGATCTATATAAGTTATTCCAGGTTGGCTGACGTTGTTTCAGTACTATTATGAGTCTAGGTCTGTTGGTATTGGGTCAACATCATGATCTATATAAGTTATTCCAGGTTGGCTGACGTTGTTTCAGTATTATTATGAGTCTAGGTCTGTTGGTATTGGGTCAGCATCATGATCTATATAAGTTATTCCAGGTTGGCTGACGTTGTTTTAGCACTATTATGAGTCTAGGTCTGTTGGTATTGGGTCAACATCATGATCTATATAAGTTATTCCAGGTTGGCTGACGTTGTTTCAGTATTATTATGAGTCTAGGTCTGTTGGTATTGGGTCAACATCACGATCTATATAAGTTATTCCAGGTTGGCTGACGTTGTTTCAGTATTATTATTATGAGTCTTGGTCTGTTGGTATTGGATCAGTATCATGATCTATATAAGTTATTCCAGGTTAGCTAACGTTGTTTCAGTATTATTATGAGTCTAGGTCTGTTGGTATTGGGTCAGCATCATGATCTATATAAGTTATTCCAGGTTAGCTGACGTTGTTTCAGTATTATTATTTCTAAAACAAACACATAAATGTGGTACAAAATTATCTTTTTTCATTTAGCCAAAAAAAATGAGTATCTTTAAATTACTAATAGACACCTAATCATGATCAAACAGAATGCTCTCATCAAGTTTTCTTAATGATGAACTAAATAACGTATATGTTCTTCGTTTTTGTTTTTAGTCATGAAGACAGTTTACAACATCCGAGTCTATGATAAAACCGTTGTCATGGGAACTACAGCAGTATTGAATTGCTATGTTCCATCTTTTGTATCTGATTATGTCCACGTGACTTCATGGATCATCAATGATAATGTCACAAGTTCTGCTGTGTCGCCCTTTAGCTCAGGTAAACTTTATTTATACACACAAAAGATCTTTCGAATCAATACTTTACAATTTGCTACGAATGGCTAAAACTAAATTCATTTGTAATTAAAAGTTATTTATGAATATTTTAAAAGTACTGTTAGTTTTCTAGGTGCTGATTGTTTTACTTTTAAGAATTTAGAATTCAAAATATTTCCTGTTATTTTTAATTATATTATAAATCTAGCGTAAATTTCTATTTTTTTAAACATCTGTAACGTTCTAGAAAGAACGTTGCTTTTCTTAGATAGATGAGTCGTATAATTATGCAATAACTGAACTGGAATAACTTATATAGATCATGATGTTGACCCAATACCAACAGACCTGGACTCATAATAATACTGAAACAACGTCAGTCAACCTGGAATAACTTATATAGATCGTGATACTGAGCCAATACCAACAGACCTAGACTCATAATAATACTGAAACAACGTCAGCCAACCTGGAATAACTTATATAGATCATGATGTTGACCCAATACCAACAGACCTGGACTCATAATAATACTGAAACAACGTCAGTCAACCTGGAATAACTTATATAGATCATGATACTGAGCCAATACCAACAGACCTAGAATCATAATGATTGCCTAAAAGAAAATACGAAAAACATTACATTTTTTACAATATTTTTCGTATAGTTCAACGATACTAGCATCACGATCATTATAATGAATGCCAACAATCAAATCTTACAGTCTAAATACTTGGGTTACTATAACAATACTAAAGTATTCAAAGTTATCATAATGAATGCCTACAATCAAATCTTACAGTCTAAATACTTGAGTTACTATAACAATACTAAAGTATTCAAGGTTATCATAATGAATGCCTACAACCAAATTTTACAGTCTAAGTACTTGGGTTACTATAACAATACTAAAGTATTCAAGGTTATCATAATGAATGTCTTCAATCAAATCTTACAGTCTAAATATTTGAGTTACTATAACAATACTAAAGTATTCAAGGTTATCATAATGAATGCCTACAATCAAATTTTACAGTCTAAGTACTTGGGTTACTATAACAATACTAAAGTATTCAAAGTTATCATAATGAATGTCTTCAATCAAATCTTACAGTTTAAATATTTGAGTTACTATAACAGTACTAAAGTATTCAAAGTTATCATAATGAATATCTTCAATCAAATCTTACAGTTTAAATATTTGAGTTACTATAACAGTACTAAAGTATTCAAAGTTATCATAATGAATATCTTCAATCAAATCTTACAGTTTA